TCGGAAACCCTGGAGGACCACTACAAGGAGCAGAACTTCCCGCTGGATGCCATGCGCTTGAAGCCACGTGTCTGATCTTCTGGGCGGGAAGAGAAAGGTCTGGGTGAAAGTGGCTTCAGGCTTGTAGGGTTCGCACTGAGGGTAGAAGGGGCAGCAAGAGCACTTCTAGGGTTTCAGGATCAGCCAGAAGCTTAGTTATGAGTTGTCCAGTATACTGACAGCCTAGTCTTTCGCACCACGAAGCTATTTACGGGCCTTACATACTAGACCCTGACGCAACCCTACACACCACTAGCCTTCAAAGAGAGGCGTTACGACTGTAAGACAGTCACGGACCTCTGCGAGCCCTCCGGAGAGTAACGGAGCGCAGGGAAGCGCTGGCAAAGACTCCCGAATTGCTATTCGCCAGCCCCAAAGTAATAAGACTGATACCAAAAGGAAGAAGAATAGTAATCATCACGATCACCATCATCATCATCCTCATGAGAATAGCCATAACATTTTTAACAAGCTGAACCTTAACCGCATCTCCACCTCTCCGGCCTCAAGCTACAACGAGGTGCTCGTCCGATCGCCTGGGACCTCCTGGCGCGGAGCTGCCGCAAGCTGGTGAGAGTTCAGGTATAGGGTTGGGTTTAGGGTCTATAAGGTTTATAGGGTTTAGGGTTGAGGAAGCAGTGTTTCGGATTCTTCGGGGTTCGCTTGAGGGTTTTGAGGTGGCTGTTGGGGACCCACCAGTGACCCGCAAGCGGGAGAAGAGGGCGCAATCTGGCGTGGGCCTACCGCTAGGCAGGGCAAAGAAGGAATGATTTTGTGGGCCTCTCGATAGCCGTGGCAGACAGCCAGGAAAAGAGCGACCTGTGCAGATTCTCGTTGGATCCCAGACTCTAAGTTTTGAACCTGTAAGTAGCCTTTCATCTCCAGCCCTTTACCGTTTTTCAGATGCTGACTGTCGACCGAGGTTTCATCTCATCTACGGGGGTGGCCTCCAGGAGCAAACCCCGGGGTGAGAGCTAAAGGTGTTGAGGCTTCGGCTAGGGTTTCGATTTGGCCACTAGAATCGTAAAGCAAGGAGACACATATCGTGCGTAGACAGGGGCATTGTATGTGCAGGATTTGCCGGTGTATCGAGTTCAGGGACGTTCGAAGACAGGGACTATTCGTGTTTCGGAACTTGTGGGGTGGCAATGCACGGTTGCTCCCATGGCCGGTCTGCGTTCAGGTGCTTTTGCTAGCAGTCATGTATTCAAGCGAAGCCTCTGACTCTACAGTATAAACCCTAGACCTTAAACCCGAATTAACGTCAAAAAAACTAATTAAATTCCTAAGCCCTTAACCTAATCATTGGGACCAACATACACCGCAGAATCCATGTTGCCTACAAACGGAGGAGCCCACGACTGCTGTTCTGCTTTCTTCTGAAATACTGATACTGTAGAAGCGTGAGTAATGTAGGGACCTTCATGGTTAGAATCGGGGTTTGGGGTTTCCTTATTACAATTATAGTATAACATACCCCCCAAACCCTATTCTAATTATTAAGGCCCCTAAATGCCTCTGCTCTTTGTTGGGCTTCCTCATCCTTTGTTTATTGGCATATGCCCCAAGGCCCAGGGCTCCTATATCCAACAAGCTGCACCACCCTGCAACATTAGGGTTAAGGGTTTAGGGTTTAGGATTTCGGGTTTAGGGTGTAGGATTAAGACGGGGTGAGGGTTGCATGGGCGCTGGCCGGCACCCCAGTCCGTGCTGAAGAAGGGTTTAGGATTTAGGATTTAGGGTTTAGGGTTTAGAGTTTAGGATTTAGGGTTTAGGATTTAGGGTTTAGGGTAAGGTTAGCTTGAGAAGCCTTCCGAGCCTTCTGAATCTGCGACGATTTGGGCATGGCAACAGCGAGAGGATGAGCAGCGCTTAAGGCTGGAATCCCTATATACCTACTATATACCCTATATGTACTCTTAAGGGTCCCTAAAAAGGCCTAAGGGTCCATATTAGGGGACCCCGATCCAGACATCTTCTCCAAAGCTATCAAGCTCATCAGGGCCACCGCAGCCACCACTATCATGGTCATCAACATCAGCACGAAACGTCACCGGCAGTAATATTGTCGGTCTCAGTATAGCAACAGCTGTTTCAGACAGGATTCTGAGCTGACGATGCTGATGCGCACCTTGCTGGCCTGTATGACCCGATGGAAGAGCATGTGGCACGGGTTAGTCTTTTAGCAGTACAGTAGTACCAGCACGATTTGTGTGGCTAACAGTGTTATTATTCTTTTGTTGTTGGTTTGTTCTGTTCGTGCTGCTCTACCCACGGTTATCATTAGTTCCCACATATTATCCTCGACTTAACCAGATGCCGAACCGAGCCTGTCACAGACGAGGCTTTGGCTTCATCATCGAAGATTACTCGAAGGAGGTCATGGGTTCTTTTGTTCGGAAGCGTTGTTGGGGACTCGGGGATTCGAGCAGCACAGAAATGGTTCAGGATTTGGGGTTTAGGGCTCTTGCGGCGGCTTAATTTAGGTTTTCCGACACAAAGAGCCCAGCTGCAACAGGGGTTTAGGGCCTAGGGTTCTGGATTCATGAGTTTGGGTGTTTAAGGGGTGAGGGTTCAGAGGTCGGGTTAGAGTTTCGGATGGAGAGCCTTGGGGGTGTAGGGTTTAGTTTTCCACCGCAGTGTTTGGGGCCTAGCGCTTTGTGGGGTGAGTTTGATTCCGTTCATCGGCTAGTGCTTGTAGCAGACTGATGCTTGCTGCGGGTTACTTGCGTCTTGCGGCTGCTCAGACTTGACATGCTGCCACGATGTCGATGACGACTCATGACCTCATGACGACCATAGCTCAGACGCGCATTCCTGATAATATGAATAGCGAGCGACTTTTGCAGCGAAGCCTCAAACAGCTGCCAGGTGGAGTACATAAAGCGGAAGTGCTGCGAGCTGTGCCCGCACCGGGAACGGAGCCCTTCGATTCAGATCAGATTCAAGAGAGTCGCACAGGTTTCCCTTTCGGAGATGGTTGGGCTTCAGGCCTGTTGCGGTTTTGGGTTTGTGTCTAAGGCTGAACTATTGTCATCCTGCTCCCTCCAGCTTCTGAAACAAGCTATACTACATGTCATATATGGTATATACCATCCCCGAAAAACCCTAAACCTTAAGCCCGAAATCCCCAAAACCTTGTTCGGATGAGCACAGTGTATAGCGCCCTGACGGTTGGCTTCGGGTCGGAGGGGTTGTACTGAAATCTCAGGTGATGGCTGGGCGACCACCTTTAAGCTGTTCGCATGGAGGGCCGTCGCCTATGCGCCTTGGGCAGAGCATGGTTCGGATGCTTTCAAGTAGGAAGTGCCACAGGCTTCACAAGCTTCGTCATCATGCATCACGCCACCACCATGCCTGATTCCGCCCCCTGGACGTCACTTGGTTTCCAGGACTGAGCACATAATCTAGGGGCCTGAATAATTAGAATGGGGTTTGGGAGTATATCATACGATAATTATAAAAGGAGCCACCAAAACCCTATTCTAAAGATTCAGGCCCCTATAGTAAGCTGTACGTCCGAAGCCTTGAAGTGTCTTTAGCTGATAGGAATGCAAACCCTAAGATACCCCAAGTCAAACTTACGACATCCCTGAAACCCAGGCCAATCATTGCTAAGGTCGAGGCCCCTCATTGCGGTTTAGATCCTGCAGGCCTTCAGTGTGACAAGAATAAGTCTTTACCCACGGTAGCACTTTTGTAAACCTGGTATATTTCGATAGGAAATGACACAGTAGACTATCATACACTATGACATAGACATGGCACATGAGGCTTGCTCACAAGGTCCCAGTTCGGTATCAAGACCCGAAGCCTAGACGGATCTTGAGTGTGCTCCATGATGTCAAGGGTGTGATGCCACGCACATATAAATATAAATATATATATATATATATGTATATTTATATGTATATGTATATGTATATGTATATGTATGGCTGCGTATATATGTATATAGGTGTGTGTATGTATATGTATCAACATCGGGACCAAGTAGGTTACACACACATCCACACCCACGCACATGCACACATACATGCATAAAAACAAACATGCATCTCTACTTCTGTTTATGTACTCCATAAACAAACATTGCGAAAGTTCCGCTAGGTCGCCAAAGTTGTGCGTATGGCCCATGTGATGAACCGTCCGGACTATGAGCGTAAAAGATGTCTCTAAGCTTCCTTTGCTCTGAGGATTTGGTACTCCACGCGGACCTGGATTCTTGCTTCGCTGGCCGTGCACCGGCGCGCTCCCTCGAGGATCTGCAGCTAGTGGTGCTGCTGCTGCTATTGCCCCCACTGCTGCCACTGCTACTACTACAAGTACTGCCACTAACCACTACTACCACTGCCACTACCACCACTACCACTCGACGACGACGACTACTACTACCACTACCGTTACCACCTGTACTAGTACCTATACTACCTACTTCTACTGCTACTGCCGCCATGGTTACTGCCACTGCCAGTGCCTCCTGCCACTACTACCACCACCGCTGCATATACTACCACTACTACTACCTACTACTGGTGTTACCCACCACCACCACCACCACCACCACCACCACCACCACCACCACCACCACCACCACCACCACCGGTATCGCAATGACCGGGGACGATGGAAAGCCGTGGAGCAGATCTTGGCTATATTGTCCGCTGCTGCATCCCCTCGTCGCGTGACCGCGGTATTTCGAAAGTACCGGCTGAGCCGAGGCGGTTGCAAGTGACAGAGCATCGTATTTTCACTTCCCGTAGTACCAGGAGACCTCGTTTGGCTTGCCCGAGTTGCGAGAGCAGAAGCTTTGAAACCCTGAACCCTAGACACACTCCAACAAATAAACTTTCAACCCCAAACGTTCGGAATCCCGAACCCAAAATCGTATGCTTTCAACCCCCAGAGCAGTCTTTGCAGCGTATCTTTCGAATCTGGGTTTGCAGGATCTGGCCGCTGAGAATGTGACCTTCTTAAGCGACGAATCGCCGTCAGGCGGGAGCTCTAAGGGTTTGGTGGGGGGTTAAGGGTCTGTACTGTAGGAGCCTTGTTCCAGTACTATTTTGGGGGTTCCTTGTTTGGCTTATAGTATAATATACCAGTGCTATTTTGGGGGTTCCTGGTTAGACTTATAGAATAATATACCCCGAAACCCTATTCTAACTATTGAGGCTTCTACCTTCGGTATCCGGGTTCTTCTAGGGGGCTTCGGATGCAGGGCTTGAGGGTTTAGGTTTCCGGTTCGATGTTGATTTCCGGCTTTGAGTCCTAAACCCCCAAACCGTGGTTGGAAGGTGAGGGGTTGCAAAACCCCAAGCCCACAAAATCCCAGCTACGGTTTCTGATATAGATCCCGCGTTACCCATAATAAGGAATATGCTGAATATGCCATAATTCCCACCGTTTAGGGTCCTTAAGGTAATGCCGGAGTTTTATCATCAACAGTATGGTTGGGTTTGGGTCGAGGGGTTTGAGGGTGCAGGATCCGCCTGGCCCGGAAGTTGGCAAGAAGCGATACGCATGAGACACCCCAGCTTCAGTCCGAACATCTGGAAGCCTCGAGCCTTCTTCTTTAGGGTTTAGGGGTTTTGGGGGTATGGGCAGAGCCGGGGTTCAAAAAAAGGGTTTTGGGTTTAGGGGTTAGGGGTTTTTGGTAGAACGTAGCACGCAGTACCCGATGCCTCACCTGCTGTACCCTGCACCCGAAACCCAGCAACGCGCAGCCCTAAACCCCAGTACGCCCAAACCGCCGTCCTTTGAGCCCTAAACCCTCAAACTTTCATTGCAGATGCTTGGTCCGTTCGTGTATTTGCGGTGTTTTCGGTTCATACCGTCCACCAGCATTCGACGTACTCCCCAGAGACTTCGCAATTCTAAACTCTACAGCATTGCAACGCGACATCCGGATCTAATTATAGTAAGGAGCCGCCAAGATAGTATCGGTGATTATCTAGGCTCCTACATTATGTAGTGTGGGTGTTTTGGGCTTTGCCATCATCTTGAGCTCCTTGAAGAGCCCCGCACCTGCAACCCGAAGCCTGCTAAACCAACCTTATCCCCGCAGTTATGCCGTAAGCTTTAAACCGAAATTCCCTAAACCTTAAAGCCTAAACCCAACCACTGCACCTACGAATCCTGGCCAGGCTTGGCCGAGTTGTGAGAGTGTAAACCCAACCCGAAAAGGCCACTGCACTTTAAACAAAAAAGAAACCTTAAAGCCTAAATCCAACCCTGAGTTCATTGGGTTTCAGATGACTTGATGCGATGTCACGGCTTGGGTCGCGAGGCTATGAGGTCACAGTTGCCTGCCAGAAAGCCGTTTCGGGGTTGTAGGGTTTGGGGGTTGGGGGTTCGTATAAGGCTATGGTTTAGGGCCTTTAGGCTCAGATATGCGGGGTTAAGGGCTCCGTTAAAGGGTTCTTTAAAAGGTCGTGTTTCGGGCTTCCCTGCTTCTCCTGGCAGAAGGCCCTGGCTGGCATTCACACATCTTCGCTCTGAAGCCTTCCCTGGGGAAGTTCAAGGATGGGTTGAACGATGCTCCGCACGAGGGACTCATCCGACACTATGTAAAGCCTAAGGCAGAAACCCTAGGAAGACAGAGCCCTTATGGTGACCAAAAGCTGTCTGTAGTTTGAATGGCAGCCCCGCATTTTCTGACACTCGCGTTATGAGTTTCGAGCAGTATTGCAAGTCTCCGATAATCCTTGAATCAGGTTTGCACTCGCCTGAGCCTAAGAGGCCCAAACATCGACATCGGTCGAACCTTGGGTGCATGCCTAGTATATAGCAATCAATCATCGGTGCTTCCCTCTACTTAAAGGACATTATACTTACATTTACTTATAACCCCAATTAAGGGACTTATAACCTTACTTACTAAGTCCCATGATCCTCCAAGTAGCCCCTTCACTTCGCAGGTCGCAAGCCCTGCAGCCCTAGGTTCCTGCCACCCTGCTTCCTGCAGTCCCTGCTAGTCCCTCAACTCCCAGCCTTACTATCCCAGAAACAGGGAGAGGGAGAGAGAGAGAGAGAGAGAGAGAGCGAGAGCGAGCTTGTACTAATGTAGGGGCCTAAATAAGTACCTATATTTGGCGGGTTCCTTATTCTAACTATCGTATAGTGGCCCCCGAAACCCTTAGGCTAATTACTAAGGCCCCTGGTATTAACGGCGTGGGGCTTCGGGGATGTCATCTCCCAGCGCTGTTTAGTGACCCCTAATAGTATAACCCTAAACCTTAAACATCCTTAAACCCTAAGCCCTAAACCGTGCCTAAGCAGACCCGCTACTCTCTTCGGGGCAATCGAAGCTACGGCCGGATGGCCTTCCTCAGGGCTTTGAGCCGTGCGAAGCGAAGAGGGTTTAGAGTTTAGAAGGTTAGGGTTTCTTAGGCCTGCGTCCAGATCTTCAGATTACTAGTTTAGCCCTAAAACCCAAACCCTAAACCCTAAACCCTCAAACAAACCCTAAAACCCTAAACCCTAAACCCTGAAAACAAAGGGAAAAACCCTTGAAGAAAGGCCCTGAACCCGAAGCCCCAAGCCAATAATCAGGGTTTTGGGATGCTGACAAACTCTCAGGATGCCCAGGGGTTGTCAGTGGCAGTGTTGGATACGGTTCATCTGGTTACTGTAGGGTTTAGGGTTTAGGGTTTAGGGTTTAGGGTTTAGGGTTCATCTGGTCTGGATGCAAAAGGGTTCATCTGGTTACTGTAGGGTTTAGGGTTTGGGGTTTAGGATTCATCTGGTCTGGATGCAAAAGGGTTCATCTGGTTACTGTAGGGGCCTAGATACTTAGCAACACTATTTTGGGGGTTTAGGGTTTAGGGGCCTAGATGGTGGGCAACACTATTTTGGGGGGCTCCTTAGCATAATTATCGTATAATGGGCCCCAAAACCCTAAACATTATTTTGGGGGTTCCTTAGTCTAAGTATCGTATAATGGGCCCCAAAACCCTATTCTGATTGTTAAGGCCCCTATGTTAACAACTTGATTGGAGCCTCGATAGTCTAAGGGTTCTGCCTTATATCATAGTAAAGTTTAGGGTTTAGGTTTAAGGGTTTAGGGTAAAGTTACATACGGATCTCATGGGAGCATTATTTCTACCCTTTTCGATTCCCTCCAATTTGTTAATTAAACATCCGGCTACCAGGAGGCAAGAAACACGACAACCGAAAGCCCCATTCTAATCATTAAGGTCACTATGTTAAGGCAATCTCCGACAGTGCGAGCGTAAAAGCGGAACCTGGGAGACTGACTTCGACAAACCTGATGCTTCAAGCAGATAGCTGTTGAGGTAGGCATTGGGGGTTGGAGATTCGCAGCATTCCGGTTGAGGGTTTGCACGGCAGTCTTCGAGACCCTGCCAGGAGATCATGGACTTCACGCTGGGCAAGCCGCAAGCCGTCTTGAAATAAGACTCCGAACCTTGAACTCCAGAAGCCCTGGTTGGGCGCCTCAACAATTACCTATACTATTTCGGGGTTCCTTATTATAA